ATGTGTGTGTGTGTGTGTGTGTTAGATGATGTGTGTGCATGCTGGATTATGTGTGTGTGTGTTGGATGAAGTGTGTGTGTGTGATGTATGATGATGTGTGTGTGTGCTGGAAGATGTGTGTGTGCTGGATGATGTGTGTGTGCTGGATGATGTGTGTGTGTGCTGGATGATGTGTGTGTGTGAGTGCTGGATGATGTGTGTGTGTGTGCTGGATGGTGTGTGTGTGAGTGCTGGATGATGTATGTGTGTGAGTGCTGGATGATGGGGGGGGAGCATTTTTTTTACTCTATGTATAATTTTTATTTTATTCCCCCCTCCCTGCTTCTTACCGTGTCAGGGAGGGGGAGATCGCCTGGTGGTCCGGTGGAGGGAACCAGCCGCTGCACACAGGGGCCATCACACACTGTGTTCCCTCTCCAGCTCTAACTCTCGTGAGACTCGCCTGTGCGGAGCGTTGCCATGGTAACAGCCGCTGGTCTTGCGACAGTTATAGCTGGAGAGGGAACACAGCGTGTGCTGGCCCCTCTGTGCAGGTAGCAGGCCGGTCCTGCAGGACAGGTAACGGGAACGGCGTTCCTGCTTTGGAAAAAGTGCAGGAACGCCGTTCCCATGCGTTCCTGCAGGACTCGAGCCCTGCATATATACCATACATCCTAGATGTACAAAATGTCAGTATTGGGTGCTCCGAGGGAGTGTGGGGGAAGGTGAGAGAAAGGAGGGAGATTAAGATGTACTTCCTATTTTCATATTTCTAAGGGGTGATTAGATCGAAATAGCGCCCAGGGGTTCCATACTTTTTCGTAAATTTTCAAGTTATCTATTTTCTTAAAAGCATATTTTTCCATGATTAATTGATAATTAATCTGTGTGTTTATTTCCCCCCATTCCGGTACTGAATCCATTCTCCAATATCATGCCAAGCATACTTTAACGGCCATCATAATATGGATCATTAAATACCTCTCAGATTTTAATTTTGTAGGTAATTTATGGTGAAAAAGAATGAGTTGGGCATCCAGTACTACATGTATAGTCAAAACTTATTTTATTATTCTAATTATTATTTGTTTTATTTCTCTAAGAAGCTTAAAGCTCCACCACATATGAAAGAATGCTCCTATTTCTAAGTTGCATATCCAACAGAATTTATTATTAGTGGAATTATATTTATATACGATCTGTGGGACTCTGTACCATCATTGGAGGATTTATGTTTGGGTCTCATATATATTGGTACAATGTACTGCTTTTTTAAATACTCTTATTGAGCTTTACCATACTTCTAATGGGTATTCCTCATTCATATATTCTTCCAATTTCATCATCCCCTGTGATTTACTTTTATCTTTTAAATTATATAAAGTTTTATTTATTCTAGAGAGTAATTTATTATCATCTATATGCATTAAGTTATCTTGATTTTGATCTTTATTAATATGTTTTGATTTTTAAAAGTTTACTAATCTTAAAGGATTACTATAGGGTCAGAAACACAAACATGTATTCCTGACCCTGTAGTGTTAAAAACCACCATCTAAGGGGCGGGGCCTGACCGCCAAGCTGGATGGACGTGGAACAGCTCGGCTCCTCCATGAAACCTAAACATTTAGCTTCAAATAACTCTTCCTCCCCTGAAAAAGCCACACAGCTGCTAATGGGCGACACAGGGGACCTGAGCACAACTCCTGGTGCACAAACCGACTCCCGTCCTACCGGCGATGCTGATTACTGGGCAGCTGGGATTGCGGCCCGTCGTGAGGCTCTGGCGGGAGATGCGGCCGGTCTCCCGTGCTTAGTCCGGCGGGACCTCTCGCACGCCTACTGAGGGCCCCGTTCTCCCCCCCTGTGGGCCGGGGGGGTTATCCCGGACCCCACCGGAGAGGCAGCGACCACTCATGACGCTTGGGCTGCGAACCGAAAGACTAGGGACCGCATGGCGAAACCTAAGATGGCCGCCGCGTCCCTCACTAGTGGGAGAATGGAGGTGGCAGCAATAGAGCAACCGCTGGGCACCGCTTGAAAACAGAGGCGGACCAGAACACCAAGCATTGACTGTGTCCCGCAAACAACGACACACACCTTCCACCCACCGTACGACTCTAAGGAGGGCACATTCAACATGTAAGCACAGCTTATATATTATCTGAGGCAACATCTCACATGGTCTCCGGCGGATCTGCGGGGACTCACTTGGGACTATAACCCTGAATGGGCACAGAAGTGCAACGGACATAGGACACAAGCCTCTTTTCATACTTGAGGCTGAAGCCTGCAGACATGCGACCAAACGTTCTCCTGACCAACGGGTGCCTGGGCACTCACGCAACCAGCGGGGAACACCAGGGACTTGATTACAGCCAGGACACCTGCCGACCCCGCACAGCTGCAGGAGTAACCAAGTGACTGCTAACCCTGTATAACCATAACCAAAAGCCCAGCAGAACGCTTTGTGTCTTCTGTTTTTTAGTTTTTATTCATACTGATATGTCTAGCATTATTGCAGCTGACCCTATTCAGCAGACCCACATGTAACTCTTTTAAAAATAGATAAGCCTACATGTCAGTTTATCCAGCAAACTCAGAGGCTCGCTGTCCCCCTGGTGGTTAAATTTAAATCCAAGCAGTGTAGAAATCTATACCTGTCGTTAACTTGCATAGCCTGTAACTTAAGAACCATATCCACACTACTCAACTTAGCATGCATAAACTAGCTATAAAAGTTCTATCCACTTGTACCAAACCTGTTATATTTCAAAATTGTCGTGGCGCTGCAAGCATGTTGTAACCATAAGCACAAGAAAAATAAAGAATTAAAAAAAATAAAAAAAAATTTGACTAAAAACCACCATCTAGCCCCCCTCATGCCTCCATAAATGTAGCAAATTCTTACTGTATTAAAGCCTGAAGCTGTATATCTCCATGCTGTTTGCCTCAGAAAAACAAGCTGTCTGCTGACATCATCAGAAGTGGTGGCCTGATCCAATCACAATGCTTCCCCATAGGATTGGCTGAGACTGGCAGATCAGCGGCAGAGCCAGCATGATTCAAACACAGCCCTGGCCAATCAGCATCTCCTCATAGAGATGGATTGAATCAATGAATCTCTCTGAGGAAAGTGCAGTGTCTGCATTCAGAGGGAAGAGATACTAAATGTTTGGATGCATTTTAGGCAGCCATGACCCAGGAAGGATCTCTAACAGCCATCTGAGGAGTGGCCAGTGAAGTTATCACTAGGCTGTAATGTAAACACTGCATTTTCTCTGAAAAGACAAAAAAAAAAGTGTTTACAGAAAAAGGCCTGAAGGTAATGATTCTACTCATCAGAACAAATTCAATAAGTTGTTCTGGTGACTATAGTGGCCCTTTAAATATGTAAAGAATTCACCTGCTGGTAAGTTACATTTGTTCTGTAGCTTACTTACCAAAAGATCTCCCATATATAAAATTCCCAATACTTTCCACTTATCCACTTTTATGTCATCAGTATAAATTTCAGAGACTTCTATTGGAGTCAGATTTGTAAAATAATTTTATTTTTTTTAAATGTTTTGTTTTAGTATGCTTATGGACTTATGAATGTAAGTAACATTTTTAATTTCTCTGGCTCTATCCAACAGAATATTTTTTATATATAGATGGAGTTGTACAATCAGTTGATTTAATATTTGCAAATGAATTAAAACGAGTGGTGAAGAAAACATTCCTGTCCAGGAATGTAAGTGAACACTACAGCAGGCTGCAGAATTTATTGTACTTACAGTGTCCCTTTAAATCCTTGCAAATCGAGTATAGTTAGTTTAGACACACACAAAAAAACACTCCAGTAATAATCACCAAAAGCAAACTAAT